ATTCAAATACTGGAAAACAGTTAAAAATTTCATGCACCAGCGCATGAAAGCTGAATTCGAAACCTTGAAGGACGAATATCTTTCCGTGATTCCCGAGTTAATAATTTACCCGCCAGAATTTTCACGAGGCCGTAGGTGGTAACCAAGAATGCGAGAACGCTGAATTTGAATGGGCAAGGTTGAGCGTGGGCAGAGGGTCATTACCCTAAAATTTCAGCCTCCTAGACTCCAGGCTGAATTCGAATGGGCAAGGTTGAGGGTGGGCAGGGGGTCATTATCCTAAAACTTCAGCCTCCTAGACTCCGTGTTTCCCGAAATATTAACTTACCCATAAAAAGCTTTCACGGGGCTGTACGCGTTACCTGCGGGTACGGGAAAGCCGAATTTAAATTTGCGGGGTCACACGTGGGTTGGCAACGTTCCCCCTAATTTTCAGCTTCCTAGCTTTTGTGATTCCAGAGTTGAAAGTTGCGAACAAGTTGGTGCAGACACACACACACACACAGACACAACCGCACACACAGACAATCCCGTGACAATATGTGTTTTGTACTGCTGTTACACAGCACAAAACGCATAAAAAGAAATGTTGTTCGACAGAAGACGGAAAAGTGTTACCTGTTATAAACGGTCAACTCCAATGGGCGCTCCACGTGCTGCTTTAAGATTTCCTTGAGAGCATCGTTGTCCGAATCCTGCAAGCAGCATTCCCCTTAATCTAGGCTTACTTTTTTTGAAAATATTTTGTTATTTTTCGGTCAATACACTGAAAAATGGAAAGTACACAAGTTATAGTGCCAATAAACGGGAAATGAAGCGCAACAGACCAGTCGCGTGTTGCCGATGCAGACGATGAAGTCGAAGAACGGCTCCAGTCCAGCGACATGGCCCGGCGAATTGTCTTGCACCTGCAACAGAACAAAACGTAGAAAAAGAAATCGAAAACTGACAAACTCTTAAAGGCAAGAAAAGGTCGAAGATTAGAACAAACCCTCAGTACGTGGTAGCCTTCGGTTCCGCCGCCAGGAATGTGCGCGCTGCCCGAGTTGCCCATTGACCCGCTCTCTCTCTCTCTCTTCCTCTGCAAATTCCGATACTTTTGAAGTAAATTTAAGGAAAGAGCAGCGCACGAAACGATGGTGTAAGTAATACAGCGGAAATACGTTACCAGAAGCAATCGGATTTCCAAAATGGGGCTTTTTCCAAGTGCTAACATCGCCGTCGATTTCCTGGACTTCACACCCAGACAGCACTCGTAGTGATGTGAAAGTGGTGTAAACCCATAAGAGGGGTTAACCCATCAGAGAGTAGTGTAAACCCATCAGAGGGTTTACACCACTTTTACATCAAAACTACGATTGCTGTCTAGGTATGTAGCAGTCCGGGGATTCGACGGCGATGATCGATTCGGACAAATCAATGGGTACAAAGTGGGCCGAGAATGGAAGTAGCCCGGAGCACTCTTCAGACGCTGGGTCAGAATCGCCAGAACGAGGTGAGAAGACGCGAAAAATTCATCCAAACAAATCGGAGGGAAGCTAACAAAACAGATGTGTTCGAGAAAGCAGGCCAAAAAGGAGAATCGAAAGGATGCTGATTATAACTCGTATACATGTAATTTAAGAAAAAATTCCGCAGAATGACAGTGGGACACATGGGTCGGCAGTGTAACTGTTAACACAACAGATTCCAAAAGTCCAGAAATGATGAAGCTGCATAGTTTCACTTCCTCCTCAGTCACATCATTGACAAAAGTAAGATATTCTAAACATGCGAGAAAAGGTAAGACAAAGTGCTGGAGTTTTGGTGTGTAAGTCATCGCAAATATGATATACGAAGAACAGAAATAATTGGCTAACGCACGAGCTGCCCGTGCGAAAATGCATTTTTTGCAGAGTTCCCCGCAGCTTTTGTCGCTACCGGCATCGGTTTTTTCGGCAGATGCTTCTAG